GGGGGGACAATTGCTTACACATGGTTGGATGATTAAAGTCAGCAGAGCTTCATCTCAATTACTATTCTCATGCAAAGTGCAAATTCCCTTGAACAGCCTATATGCCTTTAGTAAATCAACCCCATAGCGTGGTCAGCAAGGTAACATTTGTTCACTTAAGTGCACTGGTTTATACTTTCAATAAATGTTCTTATGAGAAATAGTGGTAACTGCAGATTTAGAAGTTGTAGGAAATGTGCATCTTTATGGGTTTGTTCCACAGTTGCAGAAATTAGTGCTCATCATACTCTGGTTTCATACTGCTGTGTGCAGGCTGGCTATCACAATACAATGCTTTTCTTAGGGGAATACATAATACATAATTGTAGTCTGATCATATGAGTTAGAAAATATGTCAGCAACTTGTTTTTCACAATACAGTTTTCATTTCACATGTTTTGTCTATATGCACCTACGCATGTCTCATCCTGAAAGATATAAATAAGATTGTCTGAGTATGTGACGATGTTGTCAGACATATGTATGCATAAAATATTGCCTTTCAGTTACAATATTTAAAAAAAATGAATGTATAACACGCAGGTATTACTTCAACCATCACAGCTCTGTTTTATGTCATTTGCAATGGTAAAACACTACGTGGATGTGGACTATCCTCAGATACAGTGATGGTTATACAAAGTAAGACAACATAATGGGCAGCCTCACTGACCAACAGGGTAAATATGGTGGCGTAAGGGGCAAACAGCCGTATTTTAAATTCTTACCATCACAGTCTGCACATATTTAGTTTAACACCAAGATTTAGTATAAAGGGTAGATTCTATGAAACTGTGGTTGATAAAAACACTTTTATATGGATACTTCTCTGTATTCCAGGTACAGAGCAGTTGCATCCTGGAGCCGAGTGCAAGGCAATGGAATCCCACTTATCACAGCAGTTGAAATAATCTCCATCTGGGTTCTTTCATTTGTGCTGGCGATCCCTGAGGCAATTGGATTCGTCATGGTGCCCTTTGAATATCGGGGTGAAGAATTACGAACATGCATGTTTAATGCTACATCTCCTTTCATGGAAGTATGTATGATATGTTCTTGTTCTATGTGCAACCCTCTACATATACTTTTTGTATCAGGTAATAATTAATAAGAACCTGTAACACATAGCTGTATTCAAGGTGTTCTTAATTCTAAAGGGGAGGGACAATTAGATTTCACTTTGCTAAAGTAAGATGAGAAGATGGGTTTTTATTGGTTGCTAAACTAAAGAATTAGCACTCAAGTACTATGAACTCTTCACTGAGTAAGAATTACTTCTGTATGATGGTCACATGATTATTTCTTTCTCCCTGTCTTTTTTTCTTTCTTCACTTGCCCTGCCCTGCTCTTGTTGGTATATTAGCCTGTGTGAACCTTGTCATATCCTAAACATTTTCTACACTAACAATTAAAAATGTCATTCATCAATCTGAAAAATATAAATCTGCTTCTCTGTTCTTGTGCATTTCAAAAATTAAGCCCTAATTAGCCCTGTGCCACCCTACCCTTCAACAGTTCAATTCAAGAGCTTATAATGCCAACTCAATTTCTAGTTTTGCACTGTTGATTAGCAGGGAAAAGGCAAGCAGCTCCCTGCGAACAGAATATCTGATTTGACGATCACCACAGGTCCTTTCAAGCACACCTAGAAATCAGCGAGAGATATGCACCATCTAAAATCCAGCATTCTGAATTCTGGTCGATGAGGGTTTTGGCACTCTGCTCCTCAGCTTTGCACTTTGCATTGCTTTACCGAGTAAGCCCACTTGTGTTCCTTGATCCCCTAGCAGATATATAATATACTGTGTACATGGACTAAGTGTGCACACTGAAAATGTCAGTCTGAAAATGCGAACAGCTATTTATAAGTGGATAAGCTGAACATTTCCAGTAAATATAAAGTACTGATGGGTACTGATTTTCAATATCAGGGACATTTGATGTCTATTCTCTATATGATGACTACTCACTTTTACTTAAAAAGCACCAACTTATTCTACTGTACAATGGGAGGAACAACAGCCATAACAATACATGAAACATTTAAATCTGTTGAGCTATACGTTATAATGCAGGTTAGGTTAATAAAATATAAGGGCTATATGCAAGTTAAGTTAATATAATAATTAAAAAATATAATAACTATAATATAATGCACGTTAGGTTAATATAATATCAGAGCTACATGTCAGTTAAGTTGAGTTATATGCAAGTTCTCAACATTTAAACATATAGCGAGATGACTCCAAATTGTAATTTTTGTTTGACACTGCATGACAATTTTTATTTTTCATCCTCATGCATTATATATATCCAGTAAATATACCCATTTCATGATCAATGCACAGCTTACGGAACATTGTCAATGACTGTACTGTGTCTAGCTAACAGGCAATCATGAAAAATTTATTTTTTATTTAGCGACAGGAGAACTTGACATGGGAACTTAACAAGAGAAAAATTCCCAGAGGGAAAACCTCGGTTAGTCTTTTGATAATGCTGACATGCATATTATAAGAACAAATAAAAAATGACACACCAGTACAGTACAGATGCATGCACTGTATATTGTCAGAGTGAGACACTTCCTTGAAAATACTCAGTGATGTTCGTCTACCACGCCTTCATCTAAAAACATACCCCTAGAACAATGTGCTTTCATCTTCAGAGCAAGTCAACAGGGTTGGGGCTTTACAAGCTAAACTAACAAAGTACACATCACACTTGCTTGATGTCAGGAGTACTCATTTGTAGTGGTTTATTGGAAGCATGAAAGGTTAAATGCCTTTTCTTTGTAATGTTTATTAATATGAAAGAGCAGACATAAAAACAATGCTGTTGCCTTTCACAAGGGTGCTTTGAAATATTACTAACCACCCTACGTCTTATTTTTACTACATTGTAACACCTATAATTAAACATATACACTATCTTCAATCATTAGATTATGTAGTGCATATAGATAAGAAGATTTCCTATTTACAGAAACAGAATGGGAAGAAAAAGGGCATTTTTCTCAGATTTTTACTCTACTCTGATCATCTAGAATCAGAAATAACACTGGCAGTGTGTTAAATAGGTATGCATACACACCTTAGAACAGGAATAAAAACAAAGAATACATATCCAGACAGACATTAAAGCGGACCTCCTTTCACTAAAAACCACAGAAGTATGCAGCTCTGCATGCTGATATGAAATCATTTTACATTTATTAGCTACATAAACATATTTTTCTTTTAATTATAATTACTGTTTTTCCACTTCCTGGCATTAGTGATGTAGCAATGCCTCAGCATCACTATGCATTCTAGGAAGGTTACATCTGTAAACTGTAAAATCTTGCAAGATCTCAGGGAAAGGCATGTTTTCCCCCTGAAATGATGTGCATGGTCACATGTCCTAGTCACATGTGCCAGAAATCAGAGAAGTAAAGTGAGATGCATTAGTGAAAATGGCCACTGTTAGAAGAATGGAAAGGAAAGGAAAAGAAAAAAATGGTATTCAAAGAATAAAACTCTGGCAATTATCTATAAATATCCATTCATAGAGTGTCATTACTAAACATTTCTAAAGGTGCCTTTGTTGTCATTTTAAAGATAAGGGTGATGTTGCTCCTTTGAAAGGAATGACATGAAGAATTAAGACATTCAGAATAAAAAGAGAGAACTAGAACACACCCAAGCAGCTTCCCTCAGTTCTAATAAGTTTTCAGAACATAACATTTATCATCTTTACCCCATTGATCTGACAGTAGTGCACACCAGCCATGTAACTTGGGCAATTAACACATGTCCCAGGCTTCACCGCACCATAATGATTGGATTATGTAATTAGAACAGGGTAGTCTCACATACCTCTCATAACCTAACCTCTTCTCACCAATCAACACCTGCCTTGACACATCATATTGTGATTGAATTCATATTAGTGAGTTACCCATGTAGCTATAAAAGCTTGGGTATGCACCTGACACTCAATAGAACCAATGAAGCTGCTTGGATAAGTACCAAAACACCCTCAACATTAAAGAGCAAGTCCAACTGAATATGACTAACTACTACTAGCTATACCATGATCTGGATAAATGAGGACTTTCACACAGCTACATAGGCATGCAGGCATTGACAAGTTGGTAAAGTTGATAAAAGCTGTCCATTCACTGCTTGAATTTATGCCGAGTCAGCAGAATTTGAGCAATGTGTGGCCCGTCGGCACCCCTCCATTACACAAAAGTCAATTTGTTAATTGGCTTTTGTTGAAGGAGCCAACAGTAACTAGAGCCAATCAGCTACAGTCATTGTTTGGGCATTCTGACAGCGGCACACACGCCACTGTCAGAATACGAGGGGTTTCCTCCATCCATGCAATTTAGCATGGACTGGGAATCTGGCTTTTTATCTTGTTTAGGCTGTGGCGCTGAACAATAAAAAATGATAAGTGTATGGTCACCTTAATAGCTTATAGATGGTTTGAGTGGATAGTTTAGGCAGTAGGATACATTAGAGAGATTAGGCAAATCAATCTTCTTCTTATAGCAGCATATATGTTGGAAACAATGGATTCAGAATGGTGAGTAGCTGTTACCCATTTCTTTACTCTGCTTAGAAATAAATCCCTGAGTGTTTGTATCATTGGAGAGAGTTTTAAATGTATATTTACATTGACCTATGCACCGTTTTAACAAGAGCATGTTTAGTCATGATGTCCTAGCTGATTGTAACATTTATTGTTATTTGGTCCTATTACAGAAACACAGCTGCAACATGAATTTATTGTAAATCGGCACTATCTCTGTTTAAAATCTGTATCCTAGGCATCTAGGACTATCGCTGCGCACAAGGAAGCTTGCTTTAAATGCACACTTCCTTTTGAAAATTGTTAACATCTGGACCTGAGGGAAAAACAAAAGCACTTTTATTCTTTTCAATCAAGCCCTGATGTAAGATGAGAGGGCCACCCTTCTCAGTACCCATATTTAATCAGTCACAGGCTCTCCACATAAACTTCTTTCTTTCATTTATAGGGTTTGTATATGCAAGTACATTAGTCTCTTTTTCCAGTTATAATTTTTCTCGTTGTCTATATACAGGAATATAGTGTATGTGTGTTTGGAAATAGCTAAAATGGTTTGTTATAACAGAGTTATATGAAATGACAGGATCGTTGATTTCCCACATAAACATGTTATAAGTGAGCAGTGAAATTGACTAGGAATGTTGAGGGTAAAAAGAACAATAGGACTTTTGTAGCCTCTGATAAACTTAATCTCATAGTCTATCAATGCCCTGAAAGCAGCAACACTACATATACTCAGTAGGCTTACAAGATAAGCCTCTCTGACTTAATTAAGCACGAAGTGATCTTTGACCTCTATCAATTGAAGTGATAATTGAAGGAGAATTTCAGCATATGACTGAATAATATCAACTTCAATTTTAACTGCAACTCATTATTACAGTTATTTCAAGTGTATTCTATGACTGTATTCAGTCAACATATAGTAAAAATTCTTGACGGTAAAATCAAACCTTGCCAATAATAAGGCAGATAGCTCTTTCAGCCTGTAATATGATGGTAACTCTGACATTTTTGAGATATTCAAAACATAGGTAGTTTAGAATTCGTTACTGCGCATGTGTTATAATTCAACATCTTAGAGACTTATGCACAGCAGTTTCATTCCGCCAGAACTTTTCCAGCAGCCGCAAGACACATTACAAAGTGACGAGTCATTGTCAGGGTACTAGGGGGCTTACCTCTCCTCGGGGTGGCCATGTGCGGCGGGGGGGCCCGGGTTCCCCTTCCTGGCAGGACCCCTGGTACCAGGATTGTGGGTACGCATTCGTGACAAGTGCTCGTGCACGGTGGACAGGCTGTGCGCGCAGGCACGGGGAGATGCACGTAGTGCTCCTGTTACTGGTATCAGGTGGGATCCTTGCTGGGGGAGGTTCCTAGTCCCATGTCTCTGTCCATCGGAAGCCACCACCACGAAGAGATCACATGGGACATAGTACCGTCTCCATTGTTCCCAGTCATACTGGGCATACCCTGGCTCAGGAAGCACAACCCCCAAATCAACTGGACCACCGGACACGTCACATTCCGGTCCCCTTTCTGTTCCTCCCATGTCGTCCTGTCCGTTCCTGGCCCGCTGACGGCTCTTTCAGGTAATGTCCACGCGGCGGCCAAGGTCCGTGCATTCCATCGGGCTCACCCTGACCGTCCTTCCCAGGTTCGCGTCTGGAGGCCGCTCCTTGGTGGGGGGCTCTGTCAGGGTACTAGGGGGCTTACCTTTCCTCGGGGTGGCCATGTGCGGCGGGGGGCCCGGGTTCCCCTTCCTGGCAGGACCCCTGGTACCAGGATTGTGGGTACGCATTCGTGACAAGTGCGCGTGCACGGTGGACAGGCTGTGCGCGCAGGCACGGGGACATGCACGTAGTGCTCCTGTTACTGGTATCATGTGTGATCCTTGCTGGGGGAGGTTCCTAGCACACACCCTCTGCCCCTCTCTCGCCATTGGCTCCTGATGGAGAGGCTACCTGGTTGCCTCGGTAGCCGGGGAGTGGTCTCAATCCTCCACTGAGTATAAAAGCCCAGTCAGAGCCCTGGCTCATTGCTGAGTTATTCTATCCCTATGGTGTGATCTCCCAGCTCCCTGTGCCTTGAACCTGTCTTTATTCCTGAACCTCTGCTTGGACTCTTGATTACCGACCCTTTGGCTTACCCTTCCGTTACTGAAACTAGCTGCCTGCCTCGACCCGGATTGGACCTGACTATTCTTCTTGGATTTTCCCTGTGTACCACGACCTCGGACTTTGGCTTGCCGCCCCTGCCAAGGGGTTCCACTCACGGCCCAGCCGTACCCCCCTGACAGTCATGGAGCTACAACGAGAACGGTTGTCCTCATTATCATTTTCTGGACACGGGCCACATTTTCTGGGGTGACTGACGTAGTTTCTAAGATGTTGAATTTTAATACATGCGCAGTAAAGAATTCTAAACTATCTATGTTTTCAATATCTCAAAAATTTCAGATTTACCCTTGTATTCTGAAAGCCAGTTATCAACCCCTTAAGTAAGGCATGCACTAATTTAAATGCTTTTTACTGCAGAAATGTGGAACTGAAACCAAAATTTAGTCTTAAAAGTAATTTTTAGTGTTTCATATTAATTTTTTAATTTATTTCAAAATCTTTGGTATTTTTTGCATATTACATGTAAATGTGTCATACCTAACAAATGCAACTAGCAGATAGGAAACCATACACATACAGTAACTGCTTTGGGCAAGTTCAAAAACTGGACTGTTTAGAAACATAGCTCAACAGTAGGAAAGATCAGATTACACAGCCAATGAATTACTCAGAGGAGGGACACAACCCCACTCAACTATGGTTTAAGCTGGTTGTCAACAAGAATGTAAGCAGTGCTGTTTTGTTTTTTGTATTCATAGAATGTCCAGCATCCTCTGCAAACTGGGATGCACCCTCATCGATGCGCTCTGTATTCAAAGTTTTTTTTATGTAAAATAAAAAATATTATACAAATAAGTAAAAGGTAATACACAACACAATTTGTTCAATTTAAAAGTAAAGTATGATAGTTTTTCAAAAATTTTATTTTATGAACATTTCTATAAATAGACACACATTTATCACTGCTTTTGCCCTAATTCTTCTTCAATTTCCCTCTTGACTTAAGTCTTGGGTTGAGAACTTGCCAGTTTCAAACTAAATTAGCAGACAGCTGGTTGGAGTGAAGACTCCAAAATGTTAATACATACAGTTCAACTGTAACTGAATATGAAAAACATAGAATGCAAATAACATATCCGGTTATGGGGCAAAAGGCAACACGAGTCACTGTGAGATGTATTTGTTCTCTTTGTGAGACAACCAGATCATCTCTGTCTGAATGTTGTTGAAGTTCATCCCAACTGTATTGCATTCAGACAGAAATCTGGACCCCTTGTGTCTTTCGCATTGCGTTATCTTTTGGATCTGATAGTTTAGTTAGAATTTTGATCTAAATCTAATAAAATTGCTTAACTGAGAGAGCCAACATCTAAGAACGTATTTCTGTATTTCAGTATTACAAAGATGCAAAAGATTGGTGGCTGTTTGGCTTCTATTTCTGTGTACCCCTGGCATGTACTGGGGTTTTCTATACTCTAATGACGTGTGAGATGTTACACCAGAGGAAGGGAAGTCTCCGCATAGCATTGAGTGAGCACCTAAAACAGGTACGTAAAAACTGGACTGGGCTATGTCATTTTACATAACCCTTGTATATCATTACTGATGTTTATCTCTTATCTTAGCAGGAAAAACCTTGTCTTTTATCCTACACTCTGTATTGCATATTTCTCACTTTTACCTTCTCTGACAATAAACTGTCATTGTACATGTATGCTATATATTTCAAAGCTGAAAGATTTCAACTTTTGAACAGCTTAGAGAAAAACAATGTGTCTTTTTGACACTAGATGGAGCAAGGGAGCTCCTTATCTCCATCTAGAGGTCATAATGCATTATTACATTACATTCGACCTGAAAAGAAAAGAAACCAAGAATGTTCATCTTTACCTTGCACAGAACAAACATTCACAGAGATGTGCAGAGTGAATGACTCCGTGAATTGTTTATAATAGGACCCTAAGGATCTATTTACAGCTCAATCCTCAAAAATGCATACATCTGTAATATGCATTTTTAAAGAGTTCCTGTCACCACATCCTACCCTATGAACTCAGTATGGACAATCTGTATGAAATGTACTTATGCTAGCTCTCTATGCTGTAAAAATTTTAGCTTTCTAAGCAGAGATTTGGCAGCACTTCCGGGACTGCCCGGGTGTCAAACTTTTAGGCACTTGCATCATCACAGCAACATAGCAAACCTGCTGTCATTGCTTACTATGAGGCAGCAGGCAGCCCAGAAGTCTGAGGATCCAACACTGCAGAAAGTGGCAGAATTGCTGCACTGATATCTGAGCTTCATATTGTAGGAATATATTTAGTTCATAGAGTGGTGACAAGGTCTCTTTAAAGTGCGTCTAAACCCAAAAATAAAATGTGATATATTGCAGGTTACCAGGCCCTAGATCAGGGGTGGGCAACTCCAGCCCTACAGCTATTCTGGAACTACAAGTCCCATAAGGCATTGCAAATCTCTGCCAGCCACAGGCATGACTCCCAAAGACAGAGGCATGATGGGATTTGTAGATAAAGCACAGTTGGGGGGCCCAAGTTGCCCACCCGCCTCAGATGATCTGGCTGCATTAGTTTTCTTTTTTCAGGCTTTTTTCTTTATTCTCCCCTAGTAATCCTTAAAATAATACACTTCCTGGCCTACCATGGCTACACTCGTTCACTCCATTGCATCTATCGAGGGGGACATGGTTCCCACCCACGCTGAACTTCAAACATGTCTTGCTCTTTTTATCTCCATTACATAGGGGCTGGGGAGATTATTAGTTAACAGAAGGAAGAAAATATTGTTTGTGCTTTTAGTTCACTGCTTTTAGTTTTAGAACACTGCATTTGTGGCAAGATAAACAGGCATTTCCTGTACTTGCTGAAAATATCCTGGGCCTGTAGAAAAAGAAAACAAATGCAGCTAGTACACTGTATATTACCAGGACTTATAAGAAGTAATATATAATTTGTTTTGTTCATTGGTTTAGATATTCTTTAAAGTCTATCTTTAGACTTTAAAAAAAACCTCCCCTTGCAATGGAGCTACCCTTGTAAGCAATGCAAGGATGAACAGCTAGTTTTGCCTAGGGGGATTCTTTAAAGCAGATTAATTTGCCTGATCTGTGCTCCTGCTGCCTCCAGAACTGGCACCTGCATCTCCCCC